GACCTAGGGAGGATTTTATATGGGGTTTATTTTTTAGCAATTTGACAGAGACACAACTTTAAAATTTGATTTAATTCGGTTTTATTGGGGGGGGAATGTATTTATGTTTTGTTTTAAATATGTTGTGCGCCGCCCTGAGTCCCGTCGGGAGAAGGGCGGCATATAAATTAAATTAAATAAATAAATAAATAAATAAATTATTTCAGATAAATGGCTGTCCAGTCTCTTCTTAAAAACTTCCAGCGCTGGAGCATTCCCAACTTCTGGAGGCAGGTTGTTCCACTGGTTAATTGTTCTCACTGTCAGGAAATTTCTCCATAGTTTTAGGTTGCTTCTCTCTTTGGTTAGTTTCCATCCCTTGCTTCTTGTCCTGCCTTCAGGCGCTTTGGAGAATAGCTTGACTCCCTCTTCTTTATGGCAACCCCTGAGATATTGGAACACAGCTATCATGTCACCCCTCGTCCTTCTCTTCATTAAACTAGACATACTCTTAATGTGCTTCTTCTTGAGCCATTCCTTTGTTGCCTTGGCCGTGTGTTTTGGGTCATTATCATGCTGGAATACCCATCCATGACCCATTTTCAATGTCCTGGCTGAGGGAAGGAAGTTCTCACCCAAGATTTGACAGTACATGGCCCCGTCCATCGTCCCTTTGATGTGGTGAAGTTGTCCTGTCCCCTTAACAAAAAAACACCCCCAAAGCATAATCTTTCCAACTTCATGTTTGACGATGGTGATGGTGTTCTTGGGGCGAGTTGAGTTGGTGCCAAAGACCTTGATTTTGGTCCCACCAGACCACAACACTTTCACCCAGTTCTCCTCTGAACCATTCAGATCTTCATTGGGAAACTTCAGATGGGACTGTACATGATGTCAAGTCTGCTAACATTGGATGTTCTTGCTCGACATATGTGAAGAAGCAAACATATCTTATTTAGCCTACATTATTATTTTATTATTATTATTATTATTAAATTAAATTTATATCCCGCCCTTCTCCTTGCGGACTCAGGGCGGCTGACAATCGATTAAAAATACATAAATAACAATTACAGAATTAAAATTAATTAAAAAGAAATATTATTTAAACGTAGTCCAATTAAAATATAATTAAAACCCCTCTAAAAATTACCCTAGGCCAGTCCTGCAAGCTGGAATAACCAAGTCTTAAGGGCGCGGCGGAAGGAAGGGAGATCAGGGATGACCCTGATCTCTGGGGGCAGTTCATTCCAGAGGGTGGGAGCTCCCACAGAGAAGGCCCTCCCCCTTGGGGTCGCCAGCCGGCACTGTCTGGCCGACGGCACCCTGAGGAGACCCACTCTGTGGGAGCGTACAGGTCGATGGGAGGTAATCTGCGGCAGGAGGCGATCTCGAAGGTATCCGGGTCCGATGCCATGGAGCGCCATATCACTTCAAGGGTTAAAGCAGACATTGCAGCCATATGAGTGGGGAGGAATGCCTGTGAATAATAACATTATCTTAGCATAGCACAGCCAAGGTCAAAGCAACAGCAGACTGTAGTAACAGAGAATAGAGGGGGGAACAATTCACACTTCAAATTAATTGGAGCATATGATTGATGACTGTGAAAGGAGGGAGGGAGTTGTGCTTTGTCACGAGAGCTAGGGTGGGGGGGTGTTTCAGTTCTTGGCTTTCCTCTGTTCGTGCTGAATCATGTAACCTATTAAAGGATTCTTTAAGGTAATTAAGCCTCAAAGTTCTTTGAAAAGTTATTTCTTTCGGAACCATGACACACATGTACTTTCTTGAGTGGGGGACCTTGGGGGCACTACAGGATTTCAGTCCTTTACAGTGTACTGTGTTACCAATGGTCCCAGCTGCCTTGAGATCATTGACAAGATCCTCCCGTGTAGTTCTGGGCTGATTCCTCACCGTTCTCATGATCATTGAAATTGCACGAAGTGAGATCTTGCATGGAGCCCCAGACCGAGGGAGAATGACAGTTATTTTGTGTTTCTTCCATTTGCAAATAATCACACCAACTGTTGTCACCTTCTGACGAAGCTGCTTGGCAATAGCCTTGTAGCCCATTCCAGCCTTGTGTAGGTTTACAATCTTGTCCCTGACATCCTTGGACAGCTCTTTGATCTTGGCCATGGTGGAGAGTTTGGAATCTTCCATAGTGCTTCTATGGACAGGTATCTTTTATACAGATAACAAGCTGAGATTAGGAGCACTCCCTTTAAGAGAGTGCTCCTAATCTCCGCTTGTTACCTGTATAAAAGACACCAGGGAGCCAGAAATCTTGCTGATTGATAGGGGATCAAATACTTATTCACTCATTAAAATGCAAATTTATCACTTTTTTGAAATGCATTATTCTGTTGTTGTTTTTTGTTGTTGTTGTTATTCTGTCTCTCACTGTTAGAATAAACCTACCATTAAAATCATAGACTGATCATTTCTTTGTCAGTGGACAAACATACAAAATCAGCAGGGGATCAAATACTTTTTTCCCTCACTGTATGGATTTATAACCAGTGATAAGAAAAATAATGGCACCAGGTTAAAAGATAAAGCAGACTGTTAATCCTTCAGCCTTTAGAGGAATTTCTAATACTCCAATTTATGCCTGGAATTTTGGGCCAAACAATCCAGCTTTGGAAAGGATGAGAAATGCTATTCCCAGGCAGGTTTCTCTTCTTCAGCCATTGGGTTGGGATACAAGCAGTGGATTCCTTGTAATCTGAGGAGCAGCAGAAACAGGGCTTGTATGCCTTTGTCTATTGATGACAGCCATGTAAATCCCTGGGTGGCTCTCAAACAACTTTAATGAAGGTTTTGAGCATGGATAAGATTGTGTGTTCTGGAAACACCACAAGCTTTTTACTTAAATTATAAAAATGAACCACCAACACAATCCCCACATTTTCTTCTGCAAACACTGGTTTGATTGGAATGAGTGACAGGTGGAGATTCCAAGGCCCAACCAGTTGATGCTCTCCAGATGCTGAAAGTCTTGCTGATGGATGGGGATGGATAGATAAGAGACACAGACAGACAGACCCAGATGAAAAGTGGGAGTGCTTTTCTTGAATAGCCTGAAATGTATGTCTTTGCTTGGAATCACTTAAATAATAAGACAGATTTTGAAAATCCTCCTGATTTTTGTTCTGTTTTCTTCTCATTCAGGAGGGTCTTGTGTCCTTTAAGGAGGTGGCTGTGTATTTCTCCGATGAGGAGTGGTCTTTGTTGAATGCCGACCAAAAAGCACTGTATCGGGAAGTCATGCTGGAAAATCATAGGAACATGGCTTCTTTGGGTAAGAATATGCAAGAAATTTTATCAGAATAAAAACTACAAATTTTGAAGAGGAAATAAAGAAGATAGAATAATGTGATTAATGAATAAGAAAAAAGTATAAAATTTAAAAAAAGAGAAGAGACAAAGTAATAAAGAAGTCATAATTGGTCTCCATTTTTTAAGGTTACATTATTGTTGCTTCTTTGCATAATTTATCCTTTCTAATTTTCAAACACAAGTTTGATCACAGGTTCATTTTTTCTTTTTTTAAGCAAAAAGTCCATCGGGTTTACAATCACTAATAAATATAGATACGATCCTTTGCCTAATCAGAGTCAATTTAGTCATCGTTGAGAATTCTATCATCTTCCCCAACCATTCCACCATTCCCTAACCCTAATCCTAACTGTCACCATTCCCTAACCCTAATCCTAACTGTCATCTCTGACCCGCTGTTGACTCACTGACTGTCCCATTCACTTTAATGGGACAGCTGGTGATGCGGCAGTGACACAACAAGGTGTGGGATGTGGCTGGCAGCAGGTGACTGGATGCCCGCTAACAGGCGCTGCCGTGATGGATCTGAAATGACAGGTCCTCTTTAAATGTAAGGACGCATTCTTGCTGGTAGTTAGAATCTTTAATATTATTATTTGCAAACAAAATGAAGGTTTCCTATTTAGAATAATAAGATGTCAGGTTAATAAAACAGCGATATCAGAACCGATTTTAGGTTAATAGGTTAATCACACATAGTTGGAGAACTACTGAAATTTATCTTCCAAAATTTGAATCAAATTCTTGAATGCCTTCTCTGCATCTTAGAAGATTGAAGAAGTTTGTTTTTCATTATATTCATACTTACTACACTTTCCTGTTTTTCCCTAAAGTTATTTTCATTTTTCTTTCTTGTGAAGGTAATCATGTGGAGGAATATGAAGATTCCTGGGAACTATTCCAAATGATCACTCGTGGATACAATACGAAGAAGTGTGGAAAGAGCTTTATTAAGAACTGCCAACTTATTTACCATAGTAGGATACATACAGGAGAGAAGCCTTATAAATGCATGGAGTGTGGAAAATGCCTTTCTCTCTCTGGTAACTTTAGCCACCATAAAAGGATCCACACAGGGGAGAAGCTTTATAAATACATGGAGTGTGGTAACACTTTTATTTCAAACAGTTCTCTTAACTTGCATAAAAAAACCCACATAGGGGAGAAGCCTTATAAATGCATGGAATGTGGAAAGAGTTTTTCTTGGAGTAGTAGTCTCTACACCCATAAAAGGACCCACACAGGGGAGAAGCCTTATGAATGCATGGAATGTGGAAAGAGTTTTTCTTGGAGTAGTAGTCTCTACACCCATAAAAGAACCCACACAGGGGAGAAGCCTTATAAATGCATTGAATGTGGAAAGAGTTTTTCTACGAACAGTTATTTTAACACCCATAAAAGGACCCACACAGGGGAGACGCCTTATAAATGTATGGTGTGCGGAAAAGGTTTTATGAGGAACAGTTATCTTAACTCCCATGAAAGGACTCACACAGTGTAGAAGTCCTATAAGTCTGTGAAATAAGAAAAAAGCTTCAAGAGGACCAGTGGCCGAATGTTCCATATACATGTGTTTAAATGTTACATTAATTGTTGAAATATATGCATTTCCTAACTGCATTTACTGAATTGGGAAAGGGTTTTTTTAAGTCTGAACTTCACAACTGGAAGCCCCAGAGACATGAATTTACTAATGGAAACCAAACGCTAGGCATGTGGTATTTTAATTATGAACAGTGGATTTTTGTAGGTACTGTCATTTAAAGGTCACACATGAATAAGGACATCATTTTTTCTTCATGTTTATCCCATTTTCGATTGGATCCTAATAAAGAAAGCCCAAATCCCCAATAAAACTTTAATTTTTCAGAGGAAGCATAGGGTTTTGTTGGCAAAATGTCACTCCAGGCATACTATGGGAAAGGCATAAATCAGGAAAAACTTGTAGAATTTTTAGCTAAATATAAATGACCAAATTAAGTGTAATGCTAATGAAGATATCTTATGAATAGAATAGTTTAAGTAGCAATTGTTTTGCAGTTAAGCTTTGTATAGCTGTCAATAGAAGTTATATAATGAATTGCAAGTTGTTGAAACTGGAAACATCTTGGGATATTGTGCTAAATTAAAAGAAACATTTGCTGACAGTGTAACATCAGATCCTCTAAATTATACTTAATACTACAAAAACTTCACTGGATTTACAGTTTCTACCTTGGTTATTCAGTTTTGGGCAAGGGGCTCACTTGAGAATGTATCCCAGTATTGAGCTGAAAAATGATTGCTTTAAGAGGGATGTAATCAGGTCGACATTTAATAGGTGTTGCTTCTGCAAGAAGCAGAAGGAGCTGCATCTCCCCGAGGCATCTCTTCAAGACAAAACTTTTTAAATCTTTCTTCCTCTATAGCAGAAATGAGAATAGGAACTTCCTGTGGAGTGTGAGGAGGAATACGAAAAAATAATCCAGCTCTTCTGTCCACTGAAACCTAAGTCAGCCAGTACAAATGCAGAAGCAGGGAATTTTTTTCGGTCAGAGAAAAATGATGTCAGAGAATAATCACATAAATATTAATTTGAGTGTGAAGAAAGTTTCAGGATGAAGAGTTCCTCTCACAGAAAATGGAGCCAGAATAACGAGAAGCCTCTGAAATGCATGTGCAAAAGACTTTCCTAGCATTAGACCATATTTTACCTTTCTATGGTAAGATGAGGGCTAATAAAAACTCTTAACATTTAATGTAAATGAAAATGAATATCAATGGGGCTGTATACAACTGTAGCCCCTCCTTCACTGGAGAGTTTTTTGTACAGAAGGGGAAAGCTGGATGAACTGAAAGAAAAAAAATGAGATCTCCCTGTCTGAAAATCCAGGATAGTGTACTTCATGCAGCCTGCCATGGCGGAGAATTCCCCAAAGCAGCTCCAGTAATAAAGGATTATGCATGGGGAGGACAGATGAAAGCCCCTAGTCAAATGCCTATTGAGATTCTCAGAGATCTCAGATAATGGTTTTCCCAAATGTACTTTTCCAAAAGGCAACTGGACTTTGTGTTTTCTTGAAAAAGTTTTGCTTCTCATCCAAAAAGTATCTTCTGAAGAAGCATCTTTAGAAGATGCTCCTTGAATAAGAAGCGAAACATCTTCAAGAAAACATGAAGTCCAGTTACTTTTGAAAAAGTGGACCCCTTGACAAATCTACAGAGGAGCGAAAAGGGTTTTCATATACAGAGATAGAAGACAGGGATAGAAATAGATCAAATAAAATAGAAATAATTGCTAACCTGTGGTAATAGAGTAAAATAAGCAAGGTAAGGTTAGATTCAGTTTACAAGTAAGGGGTGGGAATTTTAAGTTTGTCTAATAAAAGTTCTGCTTACTATACCATAAGAAAAGCCCTAAGAATTGTTAATAGGCAATTTTTGGGGGGAGGATTTGGGTGGGGGAGAAACTTCTGAAATTCAGAGGCTCCTGCTGGGTTGCACCTCTTTATTCAAACAGTACAGCTGGATTATTCTCTCAAAATGGAGAAAAGGCACCAATTCCAGTTTTCTGCTGGTTATTGTCCAATGCTTCATTAGAGAAATGGAAATCAGAGTGACAGTCAGAAAATTAGACAATTGTATTTTTCTTATTTTTTCAATTTTTTTTATTAAGTAAACATTTAAAAACAGGTTGAACATAGTGTGACTTTTCTGGCTGTTATTTTGCCATACATACTATACCATATATCTTCCTAGTCATTGACCTTTTATACCATTTACATATTGAACAATTGTATCTTTGTATTCATTATCTAGAACAGTGGTTCTCAACCTTTTTAATGCCGCGACCCCAACCGGTCGTAAGTCGAGGACTAAACCGGTTGTAAGTCGAGGACTACCCAACCGGTCGTAAGTCGAGGACTTTCCCTGCCCAGGAGCGCCGCGCATGCGTGGTTCCGCCCCCTGCGCCGGCCGAGGCGTAACTGGCAAGCGGCAGAGACGGAGCAGGCCGACCACCAACTGGCCCAGCCCAAGGGAGGTAAGGCACCCGCCGGAAAAGGGGAAAAAAATGGCGGACAAAAAAAAATGGCAGACAAAAAAAATGGCGGACAGCCTTGCTTGGCGACCCCCGTGAAATGGTCGATCGACCCCAAATGGGGTCCCGACCCACAGGTTGAGAACCACTGATCTAGAAGTTGCCTTAAACTCTACAAAGGTCTGAAGTTTCCTAATAATATTTTCTGAGAGTGTTTGCTATTCAATCACCAAATAAAAATCACTTCTTTTTCGCCTGCTGTGGTGTTTTAATATTATATTCCCTCTTCCATAGTTGCTTTCCATCCTTTTACAGTTCCACGTTTTCTCCAGTCAACAGATAAGACGCCGTTTCCCCGCTCTTTATTTCTCCTCCAAGGAGCTTCGTGAGGTAAAATTTCTGGAACATCCACCACGTTCAGCTTTCCTCTCCAGTTTGAGGTGGCTTTTTCTTTCCCTTCAGCATCCTTTCTTTGGGCACAAGCAGCTGCTCGGCCTTCCCGGTGATCCTGAGACACCCGGAGCCAAGAATTGGACAAGGGAAGCTGCGGGTACAGAAGCAGAGAACCAGAAACAGGAGAAATCTCCATTTTCCCGGTTGGGGCTTCCCTGGCAATCTTCTTCCCCTTCAGGCCGGAGTTCGGGACAATAGCAAGACACAAGTTGTGTTTCCCAGAGAGGCTCCTGGTCCTCATCTTCTGACCGCCTGGCCATTTCTGACAGGATTTGGGCCTTTTTGAGGTTTTTCCGATCTCTGCAGAGCCTTCAGGGCAGTTCTTGAGGTTGAGTAAGTTCAAATCCTCCAGGGAAATTTCTCTCCATCTCCACAGACGCTTCCTGGACAGGAAGATGGAGAAGCTCCCGCCTCTTTAAACGCCGACGTCTTTCTAGGGCAGGGAGCCTTTCCTCCTACTCTCATACCCATCATCCCTGCCCTCCCCCTTCCCTCAGGCGGTCTCTTCTTTCCCGCCCTTTCGGGTAATTGTGTCAGTTCGCACAGAATCCAACGGAGTACTCTCAGCCTCACGAAGTAACTGAGCATGCGCGGGGTTCTTCGCTGGAACCAGGCACCCGGAGGGGTCAGTAGCAAGAGGCTGCTTTTTCTGTTCACCCCCTCCCTCCGCTGTGAGGTGGGGGCGGGGCCTTTGCGGAAGGCGCAGAGGCTGCCGGGAATCCTTGCGGGCACCCGGTTATCGACGGGGGTCCCTAGTTCCGTGAGTGGCGGCTCTGCCCATGCAAAGGGGTCCGCGCTGGAGGCGAGTGTGGAGACGGGCCATGTCTTTCCCCGGGGTGGGAGTCGCGGCCCCATGTTCCCCTGCCGCCCTTTCCCATGCACGGCCCCGGCAAGGGGCCGGGGGGAGCAAAGGAGAGAAAGGGGGATCGTCCGAAGGGAGGGGCCGTTTCCCCCCATTTCCTAGGGGAGCTTCTGCATGGGGAGGAGGGGGGCTGCCGGCTGTGGGTACAAGGCCGGCGCCCCGGGTGGGTGAGCCGGGTCTGGGGTGCTGCTTCCCTGCCTTTCCCCCCCCGACCTCAAAGTGCCTCTGCCGGCAGACAAAGGAGGGAGAGGCTGCTGGGAGGCAGGCGCAAGTGGAGCTGAGACGCAGCATTCGCACCCAGTGCCCAGTTGCGCCGATGTTTCCCAAACCTCTTTGAAGTCTGGAACTTGAAGTCCACACACCTTCATTTGTCCGTCTTTGGAAAAGCGTGGATTAGGCTAAGACGTGGGGAACGTGTTTGTCGGAGTTGCATGAATCAGAAGCTCATGTTAGACCAGTGTTTCTCAACCTTGACAATTTTAAGGCATGTGGACTTCAACTCCCAGAATTCCACAGCCAGCATTGCTGGCTGTGGAATTCTGGGAGTTGAAGTCCACATGCCTTAAAATTGTCAAGGTTGAGAAACACTGTGTTAGACTGTCAGTGGTTCATTCATTCGGCTGTTCGTCCTCTGTGTATCGGATGGTGGCTTGTTAATTCAGGCTTCTCAAGTTCCCAAAGGGGTTTGGGCCAGAATGATTAATGGGGTTCTGATG